TGGCCTCCAGGCTGAAACAAGTTCTTCCCTTCGTCATCTCTCCCTCACAGTCCGCCTTCATCAAAGAGAAGCAAATCCTTGACAGAGTGCTGGTGGCACATGAGTGTTTACACTCTCGACACGTCAGCAAAAGCCGGGCTTGATTTTTAAGATTGACTGACCACGTGGACTGGTCAATCCTAGACGAAACCTTGTCAAGGATGGGATTTGGTAAGCGTTGGACGAAGTGGATGAGAAGTAGCTTCTCCAACCCATCCTTCTCAGTACTCATCAACGGGTCCCCGAAAGGTTTCTTCTCGCCCTCGAAGGGCTTTTGCCAAGGAGGCCCTCTCTCACCTTTCATCTTCGCTATTGCAGCGAAAGTTTTCAGTCAGTCCATCTCTTGCTTGTATCAGGCCGGCCTCTTCTTTGGCTTCAAAAGCAATATGCATGGCTCGTGCGTGTCCCACCTGCAGTACGTAGATGACACACTAGCCTTTCTAGATGCAGTTCCACAATTTGAATACTAGCACGCTTAATAACAGGACAAAATGTTTCAGAGAAATCAACTCCTACAACTTGATTATATCCTTTAGCAACTAGTTTGGCCTTAATTCTCTCTAAACTACCATCAAACTTTAATTTAGTCTTATAGACCCAAAGACAACTAACAACATTCATACTTGGAAGACGAGGAACTAACTCCCACATGGAATTAACATGTAGGGCTTCAATTTTCTATTCCATTGCACGATTCCAGCCCGGATGACCCAAGGCAAACTTGATGGACTTAGGTTTTGAAGACAAAGTTTCAAAAATAAGAGCATTTGATATTGCTGCCATGGACGATAGAATTTGAGGCTTTCGAGTACCATCTTGAGTTCTTGTGACCATTTGATGACGAGGGCATTTAGGGGCTCGTGAAAAATTAAATTGTTAGGTTTATCGGGTGACTGTATTTTCATCACCATGAGCATGTGCTACATCATCTTGGACATCTTGTATTGGTGTCATAGTGGCGGCATCTTCCTCTACCAGAGAAGTTGGAGAGCTCTCATTATTGAGAGGCAGATCAGCTGGAGAAGAAGACACATCCTGGGCATCCCTTATTGGCGGTCTATGTGAAGGTGACGAATCCGAAGAAGTCTGGATGTCAAATTCATAACACTCAGACCATTCTGCATAAGTAGTCAGCTCCCCCCTGACTACATGTTTTCATCAAATACGACATGTTTGGAGATATAGACTCACCCTGTGGGTGGATGCAGATATTTGTAAACCTTATGTTGAATACTGCAACCCAAAGCTACACATGGAAGAGAATGTGGACAAATTTAAAACATCGATACCCAAAAACCCGGAGTGAAGAATAGTCTGGTAGGTGGCCAAACAACAAAGAACATGGTGAATCCATTTGCAAATTGGCTGAGGGAATCTTGTTTATTACAAAGACTGTGGTATGAAAAGCTTCAGCCCAAAATAGTTTTCGAATTCTTGCATGAAACATCATTGTAAGACCCAATTCTACAATATTTCTGTGTTTCCTTTCAGCTATTCCATTATGTTTAGGGGTTCCCGGACATGATATCTGTTGCATTTCCATTCTCAGTAAGATGAGCAATGAATTCTTTCTTAGCAAACTCACCATCTCCATCACATTGAAAAATTCGAAGTCGCTTCTCAAATCTCCTTTCAACCATACGATGAAATTTCACAAATGCAAAGAAAAATTCAGATTTTCTTTTCAAAGGGTAAATTCAAGAAAAATGGGTGTAATCATTCACAAACACCGCATAAAAGCGATAACTCTGATTAGATAAAATTGGAGCAGGACCCCATAAATCTAAATGAATCTTATCAGTACTACTAATCTGGAGTTTACAACTTTTTCCCATTTGACAACTAGTACAAATAGAATGAGATTTATTCCATGCATCAACATTAATCTACTGTTTAGATTCTAAGTAACAAAGACTTTATTTTGAGGATGTTTGAGTCTTTGTTGCCACACATCGTCTGTTCTCTTATTTGGATTAGAAAATTAAGCTTCCTTCACATCCTCAAGTGCATAAAGTCCACCCTTTCTACTCTAGCTGGCTAGAGTTCTCTATGTGCTCTTTTCCTTAATTCGAACACCATTTGATGAGAAATACAAGGAACATCTTTTGTAAACTGGCTAACAAATAATGAATTCTTTTTCATCTCTGACACCAAAAGAACATTAGAAATATTAAATTTTCCAGACCCAACATCAGTATTTGTATCACCAACACTGAAATAGTCAATTGCTCACCATTGTCAACTATTACTGTATCTCTACCACTATAATAATGAAGGTTTTGCACTTTACTTGGGTCTCCTGTCATAGGAGTTGGGGCACCATTGTCTGGGAACCATTTCGAGTCTTGGGAATTTGTTGAGGAATGTCTTTTTCTTGGTACCTATGATTGAGTCGATGGCAACACTTTAATACAGTATGCCCAATTTTTTCGCAAATTTGACACTTTTCTTGTGGTGTCTGAGTTGATTGTTGTATCTGTGAATCTTGTTGAAATTTTGATTCACATGTTGCATAGTTTACCACCACTTTCTTGGTTTCTTCGAGGCACACCACGTCCCCAATTATTGTTCTGGCATGTTTGACCAAATCCACACCCTGAGAATTGAAAAACTATTGACTACCAAAGTTGTGTATGCCTCTACCTCTGTAATTTCTAGTACCTTTTTTAGGCCCAAAATTTCTCTGTTGTCTAGCAAGAGCCATATTGTGATTTGGATATGAGTGTGTGATTTGGATATGAGTGTTCTTTAGAGCCGTGAGGCTGATTTCTAATCTCATGGCTTTGGAGAAGTGGTATAATTTCAGAATAGGAAGGAATCAGAGGCATAAGGATAGTGGTAGCAAAACTCGTAGATTTTGGACCAAGTCCATTGAAAAGCTAAAATACCTTATTTTCATTTTGTACATGTTTGCCAATAGTAGCGAAATCATCTCAAATACTCATGAATCTGCATATGTATTATGATAAGGTCGAATTACCTTTCTTGCAGCGTTGGAGTTGCTGGGTAAGTTGGAATTTCCTAGCTTGAAAATTACATAAATAGACATTCTTCAAAACTTTACATACTTCTGCAGAAGTCTTAAGGCCAACCACAAGACTGAGACACTCTTCTGATAGTGTCCATGTGATCCAGGCTTTAAGAAGTTGGTCGGACTTTAGCCATAATTTGTAGTCTGTGTTTTCGATTTCACTCTTACCATCAGGAGAGAAAATCTTTTGACTTGGTGTAGGGCAGTCACCATTAATGAATCCTAAAAGTTCTTGACTCTCAATGAGAGAGAGCATTTGAGTTTCTCATAATCGATAGTTTTTCTGTGTCAATTTAGTAGATACAAAGTTTCCCACATTGGGGCTGGAGGGATAAGGATACTTGGACATTGAGGATGAAACATCCATTGGAGCGATTGAGGTATTTGAGGATATGTGGATGGGTTGTGTCTTGTTGTTTTTATTGTTTGTTGGCAAAGAGTGCTTAAATGGAAGATGGTGTGAGGGCGTGAGAGTTGGTTGTAGAAGAGGACGCGATTACAAAACTTGGATGATAAGATTTTGCGAGTGGAAATTTGTGAAGGGAGAGAAACGTGTGAAGTATGAGCCTTGATGGTGAGACTTGTAAGGCTTAAGACTTTGCAAGTGGAAATATGAGAAGAAGATATAAGTGTATGGAAAAAAAAAATGGTTTTGATGGCTGGTAAAAAGTTTTTTTAAAAAAAGGAACGCATGCACCATATAGAAAGGAAAAGGACTTACTTCGGATAGAGAGTTTGGTATGTAGAGAGAGAGACTTGCTTCGGATAGAGGAACAAACTTAACGTAGGAAGCTGGGATTGGGATCGATGATGCTCTGATACTATATAGAATTCTAGAGAGAGAAAGAAACTCTTTGAGAAAATAATTGTGCCCTACACAACCACTTGGGTTGTGTCATGTTCTTGTGGGATTTACTCTCTATCCATAACTATCCATCCTTTTGGATGGACAATAGTGATGAATTGGACCATTCCTTCTCTTTGATCATATCCATCGTAGTATACTTGTCCATGTTAAAATGCTTATGCATTGCACTTGAAGATATTCATGCTTGTAGCTGAGCGATACAAAGTTATTGTTACTTTCAAAGTATTCGCAAGTCACAAACTTGTGAATGAGTTCCACATACTTCTGAAAATAACCCTGAAAAAAAGCCTTGCTATTGTGGTATTAAGGAGTTTGTTGCAGCCATGATTTTTTGGGAGTCTTCATGGAACTTGCTATTATAAAGGGTGTCTCTTTTTTCTTTTTACTGCTTTCCAAGTCCTGAAATAATATATATATGCAAGCCTATGTTTGAGCTTTTGAATATATTTTAATACTGTTCATCTATTTGGTGCCTAGCATTGTTTCCTTATCCCATCCGAGTCTGATGTATTGGTTACTTAAATCAATTTGAGCCGAGAGAAACAAAAGGTGCTTGTGCATCTTCGTTCCTTCTTTTCTGGTAAAGCACTTTTCCTTGATCATTGTCGAAATTTTCTTTCATTTGCATGTGGACGAATATACTCCCATTTGGGATATTTGTTTGAGATCCCAGTCACTAATGCATGCATCCTCATGTATGTAACACGTGCAACTGGTGCCACGAATGAATATTCTATTACATCGCTATTTTATAACATAACCTGTTTTAGCTGTTGCCCAATATAAAATTGATCTTTCTGCCCACCAATTGTTTAAATGTCAATTTATCTTCATAAAATAAGTACATAACATCTTGTTGATTATGGTTTTCATTATGTTTTCAGGTATATTCTGTGCTATGATTTCTTTGACTTCATGATTAATGCAAGTGGAATCTTTTTCTTTTTTTTTTATCATTTAGTTAAAAGTGCATATCCACTTGTTGAAAAGTATTTGTTTTTGTAGTTATGTTGTTCATTGCATCCATATTGTGTGTATAACTTTTTCTCTCGGATTTGCCAGCTCCACAAGTGATTCCCATGATAGGAAATTCTTATCCAACTTCTGGAGGCCCAATGGCTCAGAGCCAAGTTCAAGCAGTGAATAATTCTTTAAGCTCTGTAGGATTGCCAAATGATGTGAATTCCAATGAAAGTTCCCCTTTCGACATGAATGATTTTCCGCAGTTAAGTGGTCGTCCGAGTTCTGCAGGAGGGCCACAAGGACAGCTAGGTAAAGGAGTTCTCCCATGGTAGCATCCTATTTTGTCGTGCTATTATGAATACTAAATTTTAAATCAATTTTTCTCCCAGCTTCTCTGAGAAAGCAAGGTGGTGGTGTTAGTTCTATTGTTCAACAAAACCAAGAATTCAGCATTCAAAATGAAGACTTCCCAGCTTTACCTGGGTTTAAAGGTTATCTACTCTGCACTGAACTGAGTAGTTTTTCTATGATTCTAAAAGATTATTTTTATGGTTTTAGAGGTTCCTGGTCTTGCTTCTTACAGTAAAATGCCTACTTGACCTGTACTTTCATTCTCTCAATGTACAAGAATCCTTCAATACTGTAATTAAATTGTGCCTCTGCCTGAGAAGCTCCAGTTGTGCAGTTATATGAGTATGCAATTTTGAAGTAGCACCTCCAGTAACAGATTATGTTTAATGAAGAGAAATATTTATGGCCCTGTTAACCTTTCTTAATTATGACCTGTTAACCTTTTTTTCTTCTTTTATAGAGAAGGGCGCACGCACGATCTTGTAGTGTTGCACTTATGAATTTAGGTTTTCTTTTTCTTCCTTTTTTTCAAAAAAAAATAGAATGAACTGCATTATAAATGTAAATCGTTGAAGCAATTGTTATGCTTTAAAGCTCGCCATACACTTGGTACTGCATAACTGTTTTTCTTTTTGAAATTATATAGATTATAGTTTTAGGTTGCCAAGGTTGCTGTTTGAGTTTCTCATGCATGTGATGATGCCACTCACATGGTTGGATCTTGCACTTGAGTAGAACAGGAATGAATGGGAGATCGGTCTTGCACACTAATAGAAAGGGAATGAGTGGGCGATCGAATGACATTATGGAGAGTGCTATAATTAGGCATTTAGACTTGGTTGGTGACTCATAACACTCGATATGACAAACAGGAATGCTTTTTTTTATCATGATAAGAAGAAGCAGAGGAGCAGGGTGGTAAATAGGTTCATACGTAGGTCCGTTGCCTATGCCATGTGATGTGCAATGTCTTGATTGGAAGTTACTTCAATAAGCAATGAAATGGGGTTTCTCTGTCTTGAGAGTGTTGGTCCTGGGTAATCAGTGAGGGATGTCATGGAGTGTCCATGCTGTCTGGTAGTCATCTGTAGTGAAATCTGTCCACTATTTCCGAATGTTGGTTTTGAGTGGTAATCTTTGTTGCTAGCCTAATGGTGCTTCTGGCATCCATGGCCCCATGCATTGCGAGGCCATATACTTTGGAGGATGTGCCCTTGACATATCTTCAGTGGGATATGGCAGGGAGGGATAGCTTCATCTGTGCAGTTTGGTTTTTGGTCTTTGACATGGTCATGGGTAGAGACGGCCTGCAATGCTTCTATTAACTGGGCATGCCCTTTGCAAAGTTCCTTACAATTGGAGCAACAAACTGTGTTTTTGAATGGATAAAGGTGGACTATTAGAGTGTGCCTCAACCTCTGCAAGCTCAACAGCACCTTCAACTAGGAGTTCGGAACTTAAGTTTCACCAAATCTCTGTTGGTGACATTGGGCTGATCGATTTTGGGGGTGACAGTTGAAACAGTTTGTGATTCATTCAGAATGTGATCTTTTGGGTGTGGGTGATTCATTAGAGGTAGGTTTGGTTGTTGACACTCCTGAGGTAGAGGGTCCAGTGGAGCCTTCATGCTAATTGAAGAAAGTTTTACGATCCCTGGTTGATCTATGTTTTCCATTTCTTCTTGGTCACTTTTTCCTTCATCTTTCATTTTCCAGTCTTAGATTTGTATTCCTGTCTATCTGCATGTGTTGCAATTTATGTCAATTATCCAAAAAGACATGGGGAATCAACTTTCTTATGTACTCTTTAAATAGAAATGACTGATGCACTCATCACAGAACGCATTCATGTAAATGAATGAATGACGAAATGCCCTTGAGAGGACTTGGTCCAAACCATATATTTAAGTTTACATGAAGAGGTGGGGGATGGATAAACCAAGGTGGGGGTGGGGGTTTAGGGGATCTAATGGTGGCCTTTTCCATTTAGCACAGTAGGAAGTAGTATGTAAGCACCCTCTCCCAGTTTTATGTGCTTATGCAGCTTGTAATGCATGTTACTGGTGTCCCCTGCAATATAGGTCTTCTATGCATAAATTCTAGGGTTTCAAAAAAGTAATCTACTTTTGCAAGTCAACAAACTTATTATTTAGTTCTTCATGTGTCTTACCTTCAATTGGTGATATGTTTTACGTTATATATATGCGTGTATATATCCTTTTCTTGCGGACTAATCATTAGTCCTGTATTTGGAACTTTTATAGGTGGCAATGCTGATTTTACAATGGATTTGCATCAGAAAGAACATCATCATGACAATGCCATGCCAATGATTCAGGGGCAACATTTTCCTGTACGTGTAATATGGCCTTTGAAGTCTTGGTCATGTCATTCATGCAGAATTTTGTCTGAGACACATTTTAACCTGCTTGTAGTTTTCCTCAGATGGGAAGATCAGGAGGATTCGGCTTAACTGGAAGTTATGCATCTCATCGTCAGCAACAACAGCAGCAACTTGCTTCACCAGTTGGTAGTACTGGAGCCTCGTTTGCTCCATCTAATTCTGCAGATCTTCTCCACCTACATGGCTCTGAATTATTCCCATCGTCACATGGGATATCTGCCTCTTATCATTTACAGGTACTTGAATTCTCAACAATTTACAGGTGCTTCAGAAATTAAAGGGTCTTAATTTCAGGTTTTTACTTGTTAAGTAATCTGAAATTCTTACGTTGTCTTAGGTTCAAACGAGTGGAACTCCAAGTATGGGATTAAGACCAGTAAACACTTCGATTACAGCTTCTAATTTGGCATCATATGACCATCTTATTCAGCAATATCCACAACATCAAAACCAATCCCAATTTCGTATGCAACAGATTTCGGCTCTTGCTCAGCCCAGAGATCAGAATCTTAAGTCCTTGCATGGGGTGCAAGCCTCTCCTGATCGATTTGCGCTGGCAGGTTTATTGAGTATTATAAGGTCCTGTGATGTGGATCTGCAATCTTTAGCTTTGGGAACGGATCTTACTACATTAGGGTTAAACTTGAACTCCAGGGAGGATCTTCATAGAACTTTTGGCTCCCCCTGGTCTGATCAACCTGCTAAAGGCGATCCTGAGTATAGTTTGCCTCAATGCTACATTCAGCCAGCACCCAGGCTACAAGTAAGTTACCCGAGAATTTGAATGCCCTATGTCATTTGCTAAGGGGATTATGTTCTAACTCTTACCTTGGATGTAGCGAGGCTATTTTTCGAAGTACCATCTGGGGACTCTGTTCTATGCATTCTACAGGTATGTTACTTATCAAGTGCAGTTTTGTTTATGGGCTTCACGGTCATATTTTAGTATCTCAAGATCCAAAATTAACTTTTGCATGGTTTTGCTTCATATGCAGTATGCCCAATGATGAAGCACAGTTGTATGCAGCCGATGAACTGTATGCTCCCCCCCTCCCCGCTTCTCTCTCTCTCTCT